AGCAGTTAGAGCCACCAAATGGAGTGGCTGGGGCATGTGGGTCCAGGGCCAGGAGGGTTGAGGCCAGTCTGATGTTGGGGCATGTTCTTTTACTAGATCCAGTCTGAAGCTACAGTAATTACATGGAACAATTGGTGTGTAGGGGTCCAGAGGTTGAGAAAACAAGGAACTGATGTGGGGGTGGAAAGGTCCCTTACTCCTCTTCCCAGACCCACATCTGTAGCAACAGCGCTCTTGGAACAGCATAAAGACGAAAAAGGAACCAAATTGCCAAGATTTTTCTCTCATGACAAAGGTAAAAATTATAGAACCAGTTTCTCAGCATTTTATGATCCACAGTGAATTCATAGATCTGAAATTGATCACTAGCGAAAGTAAAAAGAGCCAGATAGCAGCTGTATTTCTTCTGGTGTCAGCAGTCCACGCCAATCATAAAACAGTTCTAGGGGACGCAAGCCCAGCGTGAACCTGATCAGTCTATAGATCTAACCACTATTTGTGTAAAACACAAGGGACAGAAGAACTTGTGGGTAATGTCACATATATGCAGTCAGCAAGAACAAGAATTTGAAAAATTGTCCAAACTGCCAACTTCCTTAACAAAACTCAGGAAGAGGAGTTGGTACAGCTTGAATATGTAGTGTCCCATGTTGGATTTTATGTTGAAACCTTAGCCACAAACAAGTATTATAATTTAGGATACACACCTCTGGATGCACTGATGAAGGAGGGTCTTTATTGAGCTAACTCAGGTAGGAAGACCCTCACAAATGTGGCCAGCATCATTCCATGGAGTAGGGTCCTGAACCGGATAAAAGAGAGAAAACAGACAGAGAGCCAGCATTCATTTCTGTTTCCTGAGTGTGGACACAGTGGAGTCAGTGGTCTTGCCTTCCCTGCCATGATGAACTGAATCCCTCCAGAGTATAAGCCAAAATAAGTCCTTTCTGCCTTAAATTGCTGTTATCAGGCATTTGATCATAAATTGCTTTCATTGGGTATTTAATGAGAAAAATAACTTACAAATCGTTCTTTACTTAGTCTGTCCACTTAAAAAAGAGAAAGAATTTTGAGATCAATTAAGTTTAGATTATCACAAGCCAAATAGTTTGGTTTGTTGTAAAATATCTCAAATATTTTCTATGCCAAATGTATGCTATTGATAGAAAATAAAACAGTTCCACAATTCATCTCGTGATTTAATCCTTTTCTTAGGCAATCCTTAACATTTTGCCAACATGGGAGTTTTGGAATTGTTGCTCCAGTATTAACAGGGACAAACTTCTGGTTGGGGCCTGGGAGGATGGCTGGCTCAGTTAGTGTGGTGGTTTGAATGAATATGGCCCCCAGAGGCTATGTTTAGATCCTTGATCCCCAGCTGGTGGAACTGTTTAGGAAAAGAACAACTATGTGATGATTGGCCATGGAGACAGGACTCTGGGAAAGCTTGGAAGAATTAAGGTGAGCTGTGAGGTGGTTACATTGGACCAAGTCAGCTGTTAGCTCTCTGGCTGATTGTTGCCTAATTAAAAAATATGAAGATATGTTTCTGTGAAGGTCACAAGTAGCAACTCCAGGGAAGCAAACACTTCTATCAGGCCTCTGCTCTGCCCCAGCCCTGTCCCCAGATGCACCCTCTCGCATCAGTGATGGGTATTCTTCCAGATCTTTGCATGCGTTTGAGCCCATGTGCAGGATAGAAGGGAAGCTTTGTCATGCAAGGCATTGTTTTATGTCACTAATGCGATTCAGTCTATTATTCTGTACACACACACTGTTCACCTCACGGTCTGTCTCAGGGACAGACTTTGCCATCGCTCTTTTGTTTTTATGTGATTCGCTGAACAATCTTTCCTATGAATGGGTAATTTATTCAGTTATTAGCAGCATGCCAGTGGGTCTCAACATTTTGCTGTCATAACCAGTGCTGAGTGCAATCTTGTGAGTTTTATATATTTGTGCTGTTATTTTATGATGGGTATTCTGGGTAGAATTCTGCTTTGAAGGGCATGCTCTTTAAAAAAAAATTAGTTACTGTCAAATTGTCAATATGTGAGACTGCTTCCTATAATTATTGTCAGTTTCACTGTATTTTCCAAAATAGCCTCTCATTGTGTTAATTTGCATATCTTTAATTACTTGTGGCTAAGAATCTTTTCACGTGCTTGCTTGTTTCTTATATATTTTCATTCAATTTTCTGTCTTATTTCTGCAGCCGTTTTTATTGGGTAAAGCTTTTCTTCTTACTTAAAAGCATTAATTGTCTCAATCATAAGCAAGTTATTGTAAATATTCTCCCACGTAAATAACTAGCCTATTTGATCATTGTGTCTTTTGTCATACAGAGGGTTTCATTTTGACATAATCAATGCATTGTCCTAAGCTACGGATTTGCACTTTGTGACTTTTGAAGGTGTGCATTCCAGGATCATGGCTAGATTTTCTCTAATACTTCAGCTGAGTCTATTCTACATTAGGTGCCTCCTCTCACATTCCTTCTTTTGTTTTCAGTGTCTGTGCAGTGGGAGGGATTAAATGGAGGTCCTTGTATGTGCTAAGCCTATATATCCCACCACTAAGTTCCCTCGCTTCTACATCTGGTTCTTTAATAAGCTTAGACTTTGCCTTTAAGATGGTAGAAATTTTACTTTCTTTTTAATGGGATAGCTAATTGCCCTGATGTTGTTTACAAATTAACCTTATTCAGCCTGTTTTCATATAGAACCCTGGACCACAATGGGCTGTACCCTCCCCCATCACTCACTAACTGAGAAAATGCCCTACAGGTTTGCTTACAGCCCATCTTATAGAGGCACTTTCTTTTTTTTTTCTTTTTTTTTTTTTTTATAGGCTCATACCTTAGAATACTTGGTTCCCAGATGGTGAAATTGTTTGGGAAGGATTAGGAGGTATGATCTTTTTTTTTTTAATTTATTTTTGTTTTATTGAGAAAAGGAGAAAAAAAACATAAACAAAAAACAAGTTTCTACCTCCTCCCAGCCTCCCATTTCCCTCCCCCTCCTCCCACCCTTCTCCCCCTCCTCCCACCCTTCTCCCCCTCCCCCCACTCCTCTCCCCCTCCCTCTCCAGTCCACAGAGCAGTCTGGGTTCCCTGCCCTGTGGTAAGTCCTAGGTCCTCCCCACTCCGTCCATATCTAGGAAGGTGAACATCCAAACTGGCTAGGCTCTCACAAAGCCAGCACATTAAGTAGGATCAAAACCCTGTGTAGAGGCATTTTCTTAATTGAGCCCCGCCCCTCCCTTGATAAATAGCTAGCATCAAGCTGACACATAGCTATCCAATACAACCTTCAACAGAGACTAGCCATTCCCTTCTCTGTGATGTACACAATAAACATACTGAGATTCTGTGTTACTGGGCAGTTGGTGCAACTCCATCAGAGAGTGTGTGGCCCACATGAGCATCTGGGAGGAGACTGCGGTTGCTAGGCTTGACCTTGCAGACACTGTCACCATTTGCACTCAGGCCAGAAGAAAGTTTTGCCATTTCTGAGCCTGACCCATTTGGGGAAAGGCTTTGCCAACTCGCCAGGTCCTAGGCTTTGGTTTTTGATACAGACACATTCATTCGGGCCTTCACTTACTTCCTACACTGGGGTGGGGAAATTAGTTTCAAATACTTTGCTTTTTGTTTTAAGTCACTTTCTTGTGATATGAGACACAAAAATTTGCAAGTGTTTAATGTACATACCTTGAAAGGTTTGGAGATTGATGTATTTCTACTAAACTACCAGCACAATGATGTCAAAACACATCTGTTGTTGTTAATAAGAAACATGTCTGTTGTTTCTTATTAACTTTTATTTTTATGTTCTGATTCTGTTTCATTGTAGTCACATGTGGGATTTCATTGGTTTCTGCTTGAGGAAATTGCTGTTATTTTCTGTCTAGCACATTTTCTGAGACTATGAATCTCTAAGCTACTTTTCGATTGCTGTGAAGAGATGTTATGATCAAGAAATGTTTAAAAGGAAAAGTATGTTGGGATTCATGGTTCTAGAGAGTTAGTGTCTGTGACCATCATGGAGTGGGAATATAGCAGTAGGATGCAGACATGGCACTAGAGTAGTAGCCAGAGCCCGTTTTGATTCACAGCTGTGAGGCAGAGAGGGCTAACTGGGAATGGCCTGGGCTTTCAAAACCTCAGTGCCTACCTCCAGTGGCTCACCTGCTCCAACAAGGCTATACCACTTAATCCTATCCAAACAATTCCACCCACTGGGGACCAAGTACGTTGTGTAGCTTTATGTCAACTTGACACAAGCTAAAGTCATCTGAGAGGAGGGAACCTCAACTAGGAAAATGTCTCCTTAAGACTGGGCTGTAGGCAAGCCTGTAGGACATTTTCTTAATTAACGATTGCTGGGAGAGGGCCCGTCCCATTGTGGGTAGCTCCATTCCTGGTTTGGTGGTCCTAGTTCTAAATGAATGCTAACTAAGAAAGCCATGTTGAACTAGCCAGTAAGCAGCACTCTATGGCTTCTGCATCAGCTCCTGCCTGCAGGTTCCTGTCCTGTGTGGGTTCCTGCTCTGATTTCTCCTCAGTGATGGACTGTAACCTGGAAGTGTAAGCTGCAATAAATGTTTTACTCAGCAAGTTGCTTTGGCCATGATGTTTTATTGCAGCAATAGAAACACTAAGACATCAAGCATTAAAATATATGAGACCGTGGGGGACCGTTCTCATTCAAACCACCACATTCCGTTTCCTTGTCCTAAAGGCTCATGGTCATATCATGATGCAAAATGCATTTTGTTTTTCAGTCTAAACACACTTTAAAAGTCCAAAGTCGTTTCTGAGAGTCAAGGTAATCTCTCTCTCTCTCTCTCTCTCTCTCTCTCTCTCTCTCTCTCTCTTTCTCTAAACCATTTATTTCTCCCAGTCGGAGGGTGGGCATTGCTACGTGTGGACGAAAACAGAACGCTGCGTGCAGCAAGGCTCCAAGAACAGCGGTGCAGGTAAGTTATTAGGCCAGCACTCAGGCGAAGGTGGAACCGTTCCAGCCCACGTTGGCTGCGCTCATGTCGTAATAGTTGATGTGGATCCGGTCAGGGCTGATATGCAGGCGATCAGCCAGCAGGCCGCACAGCAACTTGCTGTAGGGGAGGTTCTGCGCGCCGCCGATCTTGCAGATGCTGTGCAGACTGCATAGGGCGCAGGGGTCGCTACAGCCGCTAAAAGTCATTAGCTGGTCCGGGACCACGTGCACTGCGATGTACTGTGCCGGCTTGCCGGTGGCCTGCGCCAGCTGCTGGGTGAGCTCGGAGAGAAGCCCCTCTGGCACTGAGGCGCGGGGAACGTTGGTGTTCACGGTGAACATCGGCATTGTGGCAGAGGGACTGCACGTGGGGACTAGAGGACGGTGAAAGGCGGGATGTGGCCCTAGTCAGGGACCTGAGCTCTCAAGGTAATCTCTTAACTGTAACTCACTGTGCCATTAAAAGCATATTAGATAGTTTCAACATATAATATCGTAGAATATAAATAACCATCCCAAAGGAATTTGGGGCATAGTAAGTAATCATTGAACCAAAGCAAGATCAAAACCCAGCAGGGCAAACTCCAATTCTTGTAGCTATATGTTTGATGTTTAAGGGCTGAAATGGCCGCATGCAGAAGAATCTAAATAGATGCATACCACCCTGCACAAAACTCAACTTCACATTCATCAAAGACCTCAACATAAAACAGCACACACTGAACCTGACAGTGGGAAATAACCTTTGAACTCATTGGCACAGGAAAGGACTTTCTGAATAGAACACTGACAGCACAGGCACTAAGATCAATAATTAATAAATGCGACCTCATGAAACTGAAAAGCTTCTGTAAGGCAAAAACACCATCATTCAGACAAAGTGAAGCCTACATTTGGAAAAAGGTTTTTACCAACTACATATCTGATAGAGGACTAATATCCCTAATATTAGAGGACTAATATAAATATATAAAGAATCAAGAAAATAAATATCAAGAAACTAAATAAGCCAATTAAAAATGGAAGCAGGGCTGGAGAGATGGTTCACAGGTTACGAGCAATGGCAAGCGGTCCTGAGTTCAATTCCCAGCAACGACATGGTAGCTCACAACCATTTATAAAGAGATCTTGTGCCCTCTTCTGGTATGCAGGCATACATGCAGGCAGAACACTGTATACATTATAAATAAATCTTTAAGAGACTAGAAAAAAAAGTGGGGAATAGATCTAAGCAGAGGATTCTCAATACAGGAAACACAAATGTCTGAGAAACATTTAAAGAAATGTTCAACATCCTTAGTCATTAGGGAAATACAAAGAGGAACTACTTTGAGACTTCATCTTATACCCATCAGAATGGCTAAGATTAATAAGACAAATGACAATTTATGCTGGTGAGAATGTGGAGTAAAGTAATACTCATCCATTGCTTCTGGGAGTGCAAACTTGTAAGTCACTATGGAAATCAGTGTGGCAGTTGCTTAGGAAGATGGAAATTAATCTGCCCCAAGATCCAACTATACTACTCTTTGGCATATACCCAAAGGATGCTTCATCCTACCACAGATACACTTGCTCAACCAAGTTCATTGCTACTCTATTCATAACAGTCAGAAATTGGGAACAATCTAGATATCCCTTAACAGAAGAATGAAGAAAGAAAATGTGGTGTATTCACATAATGGAGTATTACTCAGCCTTAATCAGAAAAACTTCTCTGCAGTGAATAGCAATAGTGAATTCAGAAATTCCAGGCTACCCAAGATGCTAAGAATAGTGACAGTTAAGGACCAAGACCAAGGTAAGATATTATTCCACCCCATTTGGACTCTTGTTGACTTGACACACAAACACACCACAGTTAAGCCACAACCTTTCCTTCCTCATTCATTCCCAAGCAAGATCTCACACTAAAAACTAAATAACTTTAAAAGTCACATAGTCTTTACAAATTCAAACACATTAAAAGTTCAGTCCCAGATGGGGATGGTTGTGCACACCATTAAATCCAGCACTCAGGAGGCAGAAGCAGGAAAATCTCTGTGAATTTGAGACAAGCCTTGTCTACAGAGTAAGTCCCAGGACAGTCATGGCTCTAACACAGAGAAACCCTTTATCAAAAAAAAAAGCTTCCTTAAAAATATTGAATCTCCATCACCCTTCACAATAGCTTAAAATATCTTAGGGTAATGCTAATCAAACAAGTAAATGACTTGTGTGACAAGAACTTTAAAACTTTGAAGAAAGAAACTGAAGAAGACACAAGAAAATGGAAAGATCTCCCATGCTCTTGGGTAGGTATAATTAACATAGTAAAATGTCAAATGTCAATCTTACCAAAAGCAATCTACAGATCAAAATTCCAGCAAAATTCTTCACAGACCTCAAAAGAATAATACTCAACTATATATAGAAAAACAGAAAACCCAGGATAGCCTGTAAAACAAAAGAACTTCTGGATGCATCACAATTCTGGACTTCAAATTCTAGTATAGAACTACAGCAATAAAAACAGCTTGGTACTGACATAAAAACAGACAGGTAGACCAACGGAACTGAATCAAAGACCCAGTTATTAATCCACACACCTATGAACACCTGATTTTTGACAAAGAAGTTAAAAATATAAAATGGAAAAAAGAAAGCATATTCAACAAATGGTGCTGGCGTAACTGGATATCAACATGTAGAAGAATGCAAATAGATCCAAATCTATCACATTGCATAAAATTCAAGTCCAAATAGATCAAAGAGCTCAACATAAAACCAACCACACTGAACCTTATAGAAGAAAAAGTAGAAAGTACACTTGAACGCATTGGTACAGGAGATCACTTCCTAAATATTAACCCCAGTAGCACAGCCACTGAGAGACACAATTAATAAATGGGACTTCCTGAAACTGAGAAGCTTCTCTAAAGCAAAGGACATGATCAACAAGACAAAAGGGAAGCCTACAGATTGGGAAAAGGTCTTCACAAACCCCACATCAGGCAGAGGGTCTGATCTCTAAAATATACAAAGAATTCAAGAAATTGGTCAACAAAAGAACAAATAACCCAATAAAAATGGGGTACAGACCTTAACAGAGAACTCTCAACAGATGAATCTAAAATGGCTGAAAAACACTTAAGGAAATGCTCAACATCCTTAGCCATCAGAGAAATGAAAATCAAAACAACTTTGAGATTCCATCTTACACCTGTAAGAATGGCCAAGGTTAAAAATACTGATGTCAACTTATGCTGTACAGAATGTGGGGTAAGGGGAACACTCCTCCATTGCTGGTGGGAGTGCAAATTTGTGTAGCCACTTTGGAAATCAGTATGGTGATTTTTCAGAAAATTAAGAAACAATCTACCTCAAGATCCAGCAATACCACTTTTGGGTATATATCCAAAAGATGCTCAATCATACAACAAGGACATATGCTTAACTATGTTCATAGCAGCATTATTTGTCATAGCCAGAACCTGGAAACAACTAAATGCCTCTCAACCAAAGAATGGATAAAGAAAATGTGGTACATTTACGCAATGGTGTACTACACAACGGTAAAAAAATAATGACATTTTTAAATTTGCAGACAAATGGATAGATATAGAAAAAGCCATATTGAGTGAGGTAACCCGGATCCAGAAAGATAAATATAATATATATTCACTCATAAGTGGCCTTTAAACATAAAGCAAAGAAAAACCAGCCTAGAGTTCACACCCCCAGAAAACCAAGACAACAAAGAGGACCCTAAGAGAGATTTGCTGACAGAGGTTTCGGTCCCACCCGGTCCCACATTCTGTCCCAAAGAAACACACATTATCATAAACTGGTTGGCCTATTAACTCAGGCTTCTTATTAATTATTACATTCTACATTAACCCATAATTCTTGTCTGTGTCAGCCACGTGGTTTGGTACCTTTTATCAGTGAGACATTCTCATCTTGCTTCCTCTGCGTCTGGATGATGACTGCAGACTCAATCTTTTTTCTTTCCAGCATTCTCCTGTTCTCATCATCCCACCTATACTTCCCTCCTATCTACTGGTCAATCAGCATTATATTAAATCAATACAAGTGACAGGGTATAAGACCACTGTTCCAGAGCAGAGATGGATCTACATAGGAAGGTGAAAAAGACAAGATCTCCTGAGCAAATTGGGAGTGTGGGGGTCATGGAAGAAGGCAGAAGGGGAGAGGGGAGGAAGAGAGAGGAGTGGAGGAAAAGGTATAGCTTAATAAAAGTTTTTAATTAAAAAATAGAAAAATACATAAGATAAAATATTGACTCACTTTCAAAATTCAAAATCTCCTTAAAAGTTCAAAGTCTCACTGGGTGGTGGTGTCACACACTTTGAATCCCAGCACTCAGGAGGCAGAGGCAAGCAGATCTCTGGCAGTTTGAGGCTAACCTGATCTATAAGAGCTAGTTCCAGAACAGTTAGGGCTATTACACAGAGAAACCCTGTCTAAAAAAAGTTCAAAGTCTCTCAAATTGTGGGCTCTTACAAAAAAAATACAATTAAGTTAAATACTTTATTATTTCCAGAGGGAGAAAACAGGGCACAATCACAATCATATCAAAGCAAAACAAAGAGTGTAAATATGGATTGTCTAATGTCTGGGAGTCAGTCATGATCTTCTGGGCTCCTCCAAAGAGCTTGGGTCACTTCTCCAGCTCTCTCCTCTTCAGCACACAGTTTGTCTCCTAAGCTCTGGTTCCACTCCATAGCTGCTGCTGTCCTTGGCAGTCACCCCTATGGTATTGATATTTCTAAAACACTGAGGTCTTCTGCTGAAACTGGGCTACACTTTCACAGCTGTTCCTGTGCTCTCCTCATGGTGCCAAGCCTCAACTTCTCTGCATGACCCCTTCAGTTCTGGGCTGCAACTGTCACTGAGGCTGAACTTTCACAAATGATCTCTTCGGGTCTCTCTCAGTGCCAAGCCTCAGCTGCTCTCCATGAATCCTTCATGCTTTCAAACCCAGTACCAGGGCCGGGCGGTGGTGGCGCACGCCTTTAATCCCAGCACTCGGGAGGCAGAGGCAGGCAGATCTCTGTGAGTTCGAGACCAGCCTGGTCTACAAGAGCTAGTTCCAGGACAGGCTCCAAAACCACAGAGAAACCCTGTCTCGAAAAACCAAAAAACAAACAAACAAACAAACAAACCCAGTACCAGGAATCCTCAGGGAACCCAAGCGGGCGGGAGTTCCTTTGTTTCTATACCCTGCCTGCACCAAGCAAGGTAGGCACTTTGTTTACGAGCTACCCAACAAGCACGGAGACCTGATCTGGGTGCCAGGAGAGCCAGCATTGGGGAGAGTCATCATTGGGCACGGAGATCTGATC